AAATGATGGATAAAGAAAATGTGCTCTATCCATACAATAGGATATTATTCAACCTAAAAAGAAATGAAGTAGTGACACATGTTTCAACATGCATGAACCTTGAAAACATTATGCTAAGTGTAAGAAGTCAGGCAGAAAAGGCCACATATTGTATAATTGCACTTACATGAAATTTCCAGAATAGGCAAATCTGTAGAGACAGAAAGTTGATTAGTAATTGTCATGGAACAGACAAGGGCAGAACAGGTAATGACTGCTAATGGGCACAGGGTTTCTCTTGCAAGAGGGGCACAAAAACATTCTGAGACTGTATTTTAGTGATGGTTGCACAGTACTGAAAAACACTGAATTATATACTTTAAATGGGTGAATTGCATGTTACGTGAATTATGTCTCAATAAAGCTCTTTTATTAACAACAAAACCCTCAGGAACCTCACTTAAATGATCCTAATTCAGCTACATGTGGTCCACTTTGAGGACATCTATTTTGGTCTGCAGCATTAGCCACTGTGTTCTAGGAATTACCTAAAATTCCATGGCCTGTGCTCAGCAATAACTTCTGATACTTTCTAGCTCATTTCATTGGGGAAAATATGCCTGAGACACTGGGGATCCTGTATTGAAAACAAAAGCCTATAGTAGAAAAGGCTGGGGCTACAAGCTGGCTATGGGGAGCACAGCCCCTGACTAAATCCTGTGCATTAGACCCCAAAGAACCCTAGGGCTTCTTCTTTTGGCTCAGAACACTTTAATGGCAAGTTTAAAATATTGCTGAAACCTTTGTTACCTTCAAAAACCACTGACTCTCATTTATAGGGAAATGGTCTATAATACAGCAGGATAATTCATCTGTGAGGAAAGATTTTAAAATGAAAACTTATTTATTCAGATGATAATAAATGACCTTTTAATATCAAGAAATCTCAGAGTCTTATGTCTCTTAATTAGTTACACTTCCCTCCAAGGGATATTGTTCATTTGCCCCATCTGCAGTTTATCTATCTGCTCAATGCCAAAAAACTAAGCAGTAATGGAGAGCCTGCCCCAGGATTACAAAGAGCCCTCCCTTGTAATACAAATAGCCATCCTCTGGGACCTGTAGATTTCATCTCACTAAATAGGCACCCAACATCTCAACAGAAGGAAAAAGGAAGTCTAAGAGTTCTGCGATAATTATCCTTAATGATTTGGTCAAAATATGCAAGGAGACTCCCTGGAAACTCCATTAGCTCAAAACAGTACCTGTCACACCCACTGGGCACATCTGCACCCCATTGGAAATGGACAGAAAAGGCTGGCAATAAGGCCAAGAAGGAAAGGAACTGGGCAGGCAGTGGAACTTCTTCTATCTCATTCTTTCCATTGTAAAGATAGAAGGTTACTTTTCTATGTAGGTTTTTTTTTTTTAAATAAAGCATAAGCATCTGTCTTGTCTCCTCAAATAAATTACAAGCTCCTTCAGTGTTAGAACCATTTAGTCAAAGGAGAAGCACTGTAAACAGTAAGTATTTGACTGGTTAAGCACCAGAAGGTTCTCATTTCAATGTTTGGTTCCTTCATAGCATGACATTAGGAAGTTGGTTTATTCTTACCTTAGCTTTTGTGGAAAAGCTATTTCTCTCACTGTGCACCAGTCCTATTCCAAAGAGACATAAAAACAGAGAGGTTGTCAACAAGGGCTTTGAAATTAGGAACGTATGAGTTCAATCCCCAGATCAGCTGCTGCAAGCTGAGTGACTTGAGCAAGTTCTTTACACCTTTCTGAAACTCAGTTTCTTTGTTTGAAAAATTACCATAATATTCCCTGTTTTATAGGGTTGTTGTAGGAGTTAAGAAAACATACATACATAAAGCCTGGCACACAGTAAGACCTCAATAAATTATAGCTTAAGAACACCTTGCCTTTTGAGACCACATTCCCACAGGAGCAGAAAAACACACTGAAAAAAACACGGGGTCCTTAGGCAATTACAAATACCAACTAAGTAACAGAACACCCATAATCGCCCTCTTATTTTGCGCAGAGAAAAATGGAGAAGCACGGAATTCTGAGGCCTTTATCAAAGTCATGAATAGAGCAAAGTAAAAATGTTAACTTGTAGTGCTCTTGCGATACCTAAAATTGGAATCACAGAATCTTAGAAAATGCCAAAAGAAAGTTTAGGGATCAATCCAACACTCTCCTTCTACAGATGAAGAAACTCAAGACCAAGAGGTTAAGTGATATACCCAAAATTACCCAGTAATTTTGTTCCATGATTTCCTTCAAATACATGTTATTTCTAACCCTTACATCTTCCCCTTCTTCCCTCCAGTCAGCCTCTTTCAATACCCTATCAATGACAGTAGCAATTTGAATGCTGAGAAGGAGACCTCCCGGTGAGATTGAAAGTCCCTTAAGGACAAAGGCTGTGTTTTTATCTCAGTGCCTACAAAAGGACCTCCAAATGCTCAAAAATCCCCGTTGATTAACTCATTGACTGAACAATACATTACACAGTTCTCTGCTCACATTATAGGAATTTACTAAATGTTGAATGAATACACATTATGACAGACCCTACTGTTAAGAACATAATCTCTCTCACCATTCCAGCATCAGGCAGAGAACTGCCCATCTAACCAAAATAAACAGTTGCTATGGAGCCCTGGATGATGTCAACATCTTGGGAGCCACAGCTTGGCTGCTGTCTATCATAATAGTTGTTGTCTTGACCCACTACCCACCCCACTCCTGCTTGCCATTGGGGTCACCAAACCTTCTCTTAGTTTTTGGTCCTTGCAGGTTAAGAAGAGACATAACAATAGTGTTCAGAAGTCAAGATACAAAAGCAGAAAGAGAATCTTAGTATGACCCAGATCTCAGGATTTAAAAACAGACTTCAGCAAGTCCTGACTTGGTAGGAAACCCACAACAGCCAAGGGTACAAGTAGGAAGGAGGATGACAAGACTCCAAAAGGCAGAAACCCGGTGGAATGCTGGTAGGGGTGCTCAATCTTAGACCTCATTAGGCCCTCTTCAAAGTCACTTTTCTTCAGTATACCACAGTCCTAGTTATCTAGGCTTGAAACCTTGGAGTCTCTCTTGACTTCCCCACCTTCCCAGTCCTTCATCTAAATGTGTCATCAAATCCCATCCCTTCTTTCCTTCTATCATCCAACTACTTTCCTACAATTTTGAAAATTGCTGCACCCTGTTTAAGTTTTTATCACTTCTCACAGGGGCCATACAATAGACTGCTAAATGACCTCCCTACCCAGATACCACTCTTTCCAATTCATTCTATACAGCACAGTCTAGGGTGGCCAACTTGTCCCAGGTTGCCCAAAACTCTCCCCATTTTAGCCCTGGAAGTCTCAAATGCTGGGAAACCCCTTAGTCGCAGACAAACTGAGACAACTGGCAATCTTACCAGTCAGATTAAAATCTTCCCACAAATAAATCTTTGATGCGTGTGATTTCCCCTAACCAAAATGTTCCCTGATTCCCACTTCTCATTAAAATAAACCATAAAGCAAGCACCAAATCTGCCTCAGAGAATGTATGAGAAAGCATGTTGAATTGGAATCAGGGAACATGGATCCTAGACCTGGCCCTTTGGGTCCTTTGGCAAGACACTCAGTCTACATAGAACTTAGTTTCCTCATCTGTAAAATTAAGAGGCTAAAACTAGATTTCCTTTTGAGCTCTAAAATTCTCTAATTCTATCCTTCTGTATACTCTCTGATTTAGCCAGGCTGACCAACTTCCTGCAATCCAAACACACCCTATGAATTCCCACCTTTGTACCTTTGATCTTTCCCTTCTCCACACCATGATTTCTCTGCTTCTTTTTTGCCCATTTGACTTCTTTGAGGACCAACACAAATCCCACCTTTGAAGGGAAGCCTAAGCCTAGCCCTTGAAGACTCCACATGTACCCAGGTTTTCTGACATTTAGCACTTCTCATGTCCCGCTCTTGGTGTTCAAGATATTTTTCTATGTGAAGCTTCCTTATTCCAACTGGACTAAACTCTCTGCATTTTGTGATTCCCTTGAAGAATCCTGAACACATAATATCAAGTATAAATAATAATAGTCAATAATAGCAAGTATCATCACTAACAATTGATTGTCATATAGCTACATAGGAAAAAGTCCAACCAGGGCTCTCAATGTGAGACAGAAGAAGAAAGCAGAGGTAAATCTAGAATTTTTGGCACTTTACACAGGATTCTCAAATACTTCCATAATTCAATAATTCACTTACTCCACAAATAATTACTGAGCATCTCTTATGCTAAAGACACTGCTGGTATAATATGGGAGCAGAGATGGGGAATGAATGGAGGCCCAGGTCTCTGATAGCATCTCTATTCACAGATAGAAAAAGCTTCCACATTGTCCCTCAACTCTAACTTTTCAGTAAGATCTTAAAAGGGTCAAATGCCAGCATCTCCACCAAAGTCACACCCCTCCCTCACTCCCTCCCAAATTTTGTCATGCATCTACTTTTCCTCCAGACTGCATAGCTGTTAAATGAAAAAGAAAAAATTTAAAATAGGTCAATAGATTAAAATACACATATCTACCTACAGAAGCAAAGCAATCTAAAACAAACCTCTTACAGGAACTATATATCCTGACTATATACCTAGAATCTCTAATCTCTACTTTGACAGATTTTTGTACAGTTTCCATATTGATATCCTTCTTTGGTATGATGTGTCTTCCATTAGCCTTGGTGACACATATTAAGGATGAACTCAGCCTATACCTCTGTCTTCTGGGACCCCCACAGCATACACACACTCCCCTAATTAAATGGGGCTGGGTCTTGAACAGTGTCACCTACTCTAATGACAAACAGGTTCATGAGTAAGTGGGGGAAGTAAATAAACCAATGGTCTGCAGAGGGAGAGGTCAAGCTGGGCTGAGCTGGGCTGCACCCAGAGTGATTCAGATTCCTCCACAGAATGGGTGGCTCCTGGGATTGTCTAGTAGAACAATTAAAACTCTTATAAATAGGATGGGTTTTCAGGTCTCCAGTATCCTCTCTGGCTTCTGATTTTCTGCTCATTCTTCCTTAAGCAGGTAAGACAGGCATGGGGGAGCAATGGCAGTATCTATGAGGCTCTTGATGGCAGCTATGATGTGCTGGGGCTGGGGAGGTCTAAGACTACTCCCTGTGAGTGAAAGCCGTGGGTGCCCTCCTGCTTTCCTTTCTTGGCTCTATCACAGAATATGATGATAGCTGGGGTAACCTACTTCTAAGCCTGTAAAAAGTAGATGCTTTTGTTTTAGTGTGTCCTAGGTGTCCCAAAACTGAGGACCAGAACTATTGGTGGATAGTTTAGTCTCTAGTAGATCCACAGTAGATCACTTACCTTTGTGCAAGTTAGTCAAGATGCAAGAATTTAGAGTTCATTAGGGCCAAGGCCCTAGACTATAAGGCCACAATAATATTCAACTCTGATTGCAATGAATTGCCACAAGGGACTCAGCTTGTCCTATGCAATTCACTATTTACCACTTACCCTTTTAGGCATCATTGCACACTTTTGGAAATTCAATGTGTTTTGCAGTTGAGGCTTCTTGGAGGTTTATAAACCCAGTAACTGGAATTAACACACCACAAGGAGAAATACCATTGAGGTATAAATCCCAAAAGACTCCAGCCTCCCAACATGGCCAGTGTGAACCTACCTGATTGTATATACTTCCTATTATTGATGCAGTTAATTTGGCTTGCTATTTTTACCTTTAACAGTTTTTGAATTCATTGATTCTACTTTATAAGCATATCCCAAAATGACCATCCAGGCCAGAAACACTTGCTAGAATTTAGCCTCCCAAAAAGCTTTCACTGACCCACAGCAAAAGACCTCTAGCCTTCTTCCCCACTTGAGCAAGGCCCATAGGAAGAGTGAGTCCTGTTACATGGGGTCGCTTTGCCCCATTCAGTATGTTCATCACTGGTGGAAAATTATGCTTTATTATCCTGTCTGCCGGCCCTGACTCTGTGGGCTTCCTGATCTCCCTTCCTATTTGGTCTAATATGAGAGCTTGAATCAAGCAAATTCCACCTCAATAAGAGGACGAGGCTTATAGGACACCTGCCATGTATTTGGAAATCTCTGCTTTTTCTAGCAGGTGACCCATAGTTCATACCCCATCCCACTGTAGCACATATTTGGAGCCTGACTAAGGTCAAAGGGAGTGAGGATTATGGCTAAGAAGAGGTTCTGTCATTTCTTAACCTTCTTAAGAAATGGCCCCTGACTAAGAAGGACCATTTCCCTCTGGAAATACTATCTCCTGGTCTTCATTCTAAACATAGACAAAATCTTGTTTCTTCTTTTAGGTTCACCTATCTTGACCAAAATGGCTCAACTCCTGAACAGCATATTCACTGTGATTGAGGTGTTCAAGAAATATGCTAAACAGGATGGGGACTGTACCTCACTATGTAAGAAAGAGTTGAAGCAACTGCTTTTGGCTGAGTTTGGAGACATCCTCCGGGTAAGATACACAGACTCTGGGCCCCATGGAATCAAATGTGACTCCAACACTTGCATCCAGGGTTTGATGTTTTTTGTTTGGTTTGGTCATGCTCCATCCTGTAACTAAAAGAATTTTGGGCAGCTCCTTAGTAGTTCTCTCCCAGCACACATACATGTGTGCACAGGCATGCTCAGACATAGACATAGACACAAACACACAACACATACCTCCTTGTATCTGAACATGAAGAGAAAGGAGAAATTATTTCAAACTGTAAATCATTCTCAGAAGAAAGTCTAGATTTATATTTTAGTGTGTACACACATCTTCCCATTCATTCATTCATTCATTCAATAAAGAACACACATCTTCTCATTCATTCATTCATTCATTCAATAAGGAGTTGTTGAGCACCTACTCCATACCAGCACCATCCTAGGCACTGGGAATACGAACATGAATTAAACAAGTTTTCTCCTCCCTCCTGGATCTCACAATATAGTTGGAAAGAAGTAGGTAAACAAATAATTGCAATATAACATGTGATGGGATGCAACAGCTTCCTCAAATGTCCCAAATTAATTATTAATGGAGCAGAGTACATCTGCTCCCTATGGTCATGCTCCCATTGGTCTAGCAAGAGATGAGGTTCTGAGAACCAGCTGATCAAAGACTAGAACCAAGCCTAAGCCACTTCATACTAATGGTTTTCAGCAGAACAAATGGACTGGGGCATAGACATTAGCACACATCTTAGTAGCCAGAGCAGAACTTCTGATTTTGCTCTTTGTTTTATCTTCTCACAGAGACCAAATGATCCAGACACAGTGGAAATCATTTTCAGCCTCTTGGATCGAGACAGAAATGGACGTGCTGATTTTCATGAATATCTCTTGTTGGTGTTCCAATTGGCCCAAGCCTGCTATCATAAGGTGGATAATGAGACATGTGGAGACAGAACCTCCCAGCAAGAAAGGGAACAAGAGGAAATACGAGACCATAGGTTTCCAGGAAATACAGGCAGACAACACAGGCAGAGGCAGGACTCCCCCTGTAGTCAGTCTGAGAGGCAAAACCAGGATGTCCACCAGGATCAGTCTGAGAGACAAGATAGGGACTCCAGTTCTGGTCAAAGACTAAGTCATAAATGTAGCAGTGGCCAGCCTAAAAGACAAGGACATACCTTTGCCTTAAATCACTGTGAGAAACAAGTTCAGGATTCTCATTATAGCCAGTCTGCAAGGTTTGGACAACAAGTAAGTGGTAGCCAGTTAGGAAGACTTGGAGAAAACTCTTGCTCTACCCAGATAAAACAACAGAAATCAGGCTCTTATTTTGGACAGTCTGGGAGGCTGGGCCTGGAATCGAGTCAGAGAGATAGGCAAGAATTGGATTTCCAATATGGCCAGACAGAGAGACAAGGCCAGAGTTCCTACTATAGTCTGACAGACAGACGAGGTCAGAGTAATCATTTTGGTCAGACAGACAGACGAGGCCAATGTTCCCACTATGACCAGACAGACAGACAGGGCCAGAGTTCCCACTATGATCAGACAGACAGACAGGGCCAGAGTTCCCACTCTGGTGAGACAGACAGACAAGGCCAGAATTCCCACTCTGGTGAGACAGACAGACGAGGTCAGAGTTCCCACTATGATCAGACAGACAGACAGGGTCAGAGTTCCCACTATGGTCAGACAGACAGACAAGGCCAGAGTTCCCACTCTGGTGAGACAGACAGACAAGGCCAGAGTTCCCACTCTGGTGAGACAGACAGACAAGGCCAGAGTTCCCACTCTGGTGACACAGACAGACAGGGCCATAGTTCCCACTATGATCAGACAGACAGACGAGGCCAGAGTTCCCACTATGATCAGACAGACAGACAAGGCCAGAGTTCCCACTCTGGTGAGACAGACAGACAAGGCCAGAGTTCCCACTCTGGTGAGACAGACAGACAGGGCCAGAGTTCCCACTATGATCAGACAGACAGACGAGGCCAGAATTCCCACTCTGGTAAGACAGACAGACGAAGCCAATGTTCCCACTATGGTCAGACAGACAGACAAGGCCAATGTTCCCACTATGGTCAGACAGACAGACAAGGCCAAAGTTCCCACTCTGGTGAGACAGACAGACGAGGTCAGAGTTCCCACTATGATCAGACAGACAGACAGGGTCAGAGTTCTCACTATGGTCAGACAGACAGACAGGGCCAGAGTTCCCACCATGATCAGACAGACAGACGAGGCCAATGTTCCCACTCTGGTGAGACAGACAGACAAGGCCAGAGTTCCCACTTCGGTCAGACAGACAGACAGGGTCAGAGTTCCCACTATGGTCAGACAGACAGACAAGGCCAGAGTAATCATTTTGGTCAGACAGACAGACAAGGCCTGAACTCTCAGAATGGTCAGTCAGAGACTGGGGAAACTAGGCAAAGTAGGTACTTCCAAGGCAGTGAGGAAACATGCAGAGACTCATATATTCAGCAAGCAAGAAGTTCAAGGAGACCAAGTCAAGAGACTCAAGGACAGGAATGGAACCGAAATCAGAGACAGAGACTCCACTCTGGGGAAGGGCAGCAGAGTAGCACCCAGGTGTGGGAGTCTGATGAAGATGACCAATCTCAGCAACATAAACTTGTGGCACAGATCCAGCACGAAAGGTCTGTATGTCACAAAGGGAGTGACTGGCAGCTGAGCAGTAGTGTGCAGGGTAACAGACAGGCCCAAATGGGGCAGAACTGTGATGAGGGCTGCAGCCACCATGCAGAGGAAGAACAGGGCCAACACCAAAACAGGGGCACTCACAGCCACGAGGGTCAGGAAGCTTCATGTGAGACATGGGGCAATGAAACCCATGAGGAGGAGCAGAGACGTCAGCAAAGGGGCAGACAAGCCCATGCAGAAGATCAAAGCTCTCAGCGACAACGGAATAAGTCAACCCATGAGGAGAAAGAAAGGTATCCAGAGCACCAGGACCAACGATCCCACTGGGCCCAGCAAGGCTGTGTTAACAGAGAAAAATCCCACCTAAATGAACATGGCCAGAGCCGGGGCTCCCAGGGGAGACACAGTGCGCTGGCCTTCAACCCAGCCCAGATTGACAGGAGGCCCCAAAGAAGAGAACAAGGCAAAAGTCACCCTGCCAGTGCAGCCATTGCTCTCACTCCCCTCTATGACTATGTACGAGAGCAGAGAACCAACCATCGGCACTAGGCCATGCACACACGAGTGCAGAGGAAATACAAAGCTGAACAAGAAATCTGTGTGTCAAGTTTATCCTTATTTCTGTTCAAGAGAGGAAAACGCATGGCTTCCTTCTCTCCTCAACTCTTATCTATGTGCAGGGATGCTTTTGAGGACTCGTATTCACTTTTTAGGCCATTTCAGTTCTTTGAGCAGCAGTTCTAGGGTGTTCTGTTTAGATGAAATTTGAGTAGTAAATTGGGTGAAATAATCAGATCCCAATTTTTATTAATTTGGGGATTTAAATCATTTCCTGGTTTGTCTTCCATGTAGATGAGACATGGTTGGATCATTGAAAGTAGAACTTTTGCCCCAAACAAGTCTTTGTCCTTTCCTTAATACTTCTATATGTAATGTCGAAGAAGAGAAGCGACCCTGGGCTTTGGTAAGCTTTGGCACCTGTGAATGAAACATAAGGAATTCCAAGCCTCATAGTCCACACTCAAATAAAACATAGTGAGAGGCTACTAGGAGAGCCAGAGACTGTAGAGGGCATCTCTGATGTCCACAACAGCTTCTGCCCCAGGCTCCTGCCCCTCATGAGCTCCTTTCACTAGAGCTGATCAGACAGCTAATTCCAGCTCAATACCTTTCTGGTTTCTGATCACATAAAATATGGAGAAAGTATGACATCTATTTTCAGATTATAATGAGCCACAGCTATTGATCTATAGCTCCTGGAGCCTGAAAACCCCTCAAAGAAAATGTATGGAATTGTATTAAAATACCCAATAAATGATTGGTGAGCAAGGACGTTGATGACTCTCTTCATTTTTCGCTATGGGCTGTGTTATCTTCCCTTGTGGGCCATTTTCCAAGAAGAAGACCTCATTTCTTGAGTTCTAAGATCTTTTTGTTCTTTTGAGTTCCTGAACACTGAAAAAAATCAGAATCAATGTGAAACAAACAACAAGAAATCAAAAAGAACTTATCTAAATATCATTTTTATCTCCTTCCCCACAGAGGAGTCAAATTTGATCCTCCCACCACATTCACTTCCACATTCAAATGTTTACTAAGTCTTCTAAACTCTATGTCCTCCATACCTCTTAAATCTCTCCCCAATTCTCCAGTTCCACTGCCTTTAATCTCCCTTCTCTTCAGTGGCTCCAGGTGATGTTAGAATAAATTCCACACTTCTTAGCATGGCACATAGGCCTTCATTATCTGACATAGATGATCTACCTAGCCTAATCTGGTGAAAGGCCTCTCCCAGGAGTATCCAGTGCTCCAGCCATGCCAAGTACTTGGCATTTTCTTGGTTACCATGCTCTTTCATTAATTGAAATCTTTGAACATACCACCCACAGCCTGGCAAAAACTTAGGCATCCTCTTTGGGGAATTGTCTCTTCATATCCTCTGCCCATTTCTTAATGGGGTTATTTGCTTTTTGGGTGTTGAGGCATGTGAGTTCTTTATATATTTTGGATGTTAATCCCTTGTTGGATATATCATTTACAAATATATTCTCCCATATTGTAGGAGGACTTTTTGTTTTGCTGATGGTGTCCTTTGCCATACAGAAACTTTTTAGTTTGATGTAGTACCATGTGTTCATTTTTGCTTTTGTTTCCCTTGCTCCAGGAGATGCATTCAGGAAGAAGTTGCTCATGCTTATATTCAGGAGATTTTTGCCTATGTTGCCTTCTAAGAGTTTTATGGTTTCATGACTTACATTAAGGTCTTTGATCCATTTCGAGTTTACTTTTGTGTATGGGATTAAACAGTAATCCATTTTCATTCTGTTGCATGTAGCTGTCCAGTTTTGCCAACACCAGTTGTTGAAGAGGCTGTCATTTCACCATTGTATATCCATGGCTTTTATATCATATACTAATTGCCCATATATGGTTGGGTTTATATCAGGGCTCTCTAGTCTGTTCCATTGGTCTATGGTTCTGTTCTTGTGCTGGAACCAAATTGTCTTGATTCTTGTGGCTTTGTATTAAAGCTTGAAGTTAGGGAGCATAATACCTCCAGCTTTATTCTTCCTTCTCAGGATTGCTTTGGCTATTCAGGGTCTCTGTGGTTCCATACAAACTTTAGAATGATTTGCTCTAGTTCACTGAAGAATGCTGTTGGTATTTTGATAGGAATTGCATTGAATCTGTAGATTGCTTTAGGCAGGATGGCCATTTTGACAATATTAATTCTTCCTATCCATGAGCACAGGATGTGTTTCCATTTATTGCTATCTTCTTTAATTTCTCTCATGAATGTCTTGTAGTTTTCAGAGTATAGTTTCAGAGTATATGCAATAGATTTCTGTGTATCCTGCAACTTTGCTGAATTCAGATATTAGATCTAGTAGTTTTGGAGTGGATTCTTTAGGGTTTTTTATGTACAATATCATGTCATCAGCAAATAGTGACCGTTTAACTTCTTTCTTGACAATCTGGGTGCCTTTTATTTCTTTGTGTTGTCTGATTCCCATGGCGAGGACTTCCAGTACTATGTTGAATAGAAGTGGGCATCCTTGTCTTGTTCCCGATCTTAGAAGAAAAGCTTTCAGATTCTCACTGTTAAGTATAATGTTGGCTTTGGGTTTGTCATATATAGCCTTTATTATGTTGAAGTACTTACCCTCTACACCCATTTTGTTGAGAGTTTTTATCATGAATGGATGTTGAATTTTGTCAAATGCTTTTTTTGGCATCTATGGAGATGATCATGTGGTTTTTGTCCTTTTTGTTCATGTGGCAGATGATGTTGATGGATTTTCGAATGTTGTGCCATCCTTGCATCCCTGGAATAAATCCTACGGAGAAAAGGATCATATACCACGACCAAGTGGGATTCATCCCAGGGATGCAAGGATGGTACAACATTCGAAAATCCATCAACATTGTCCACCACATAAACAAAAAGAAAGACAAAAACCACATGATCATCTCCATAGATGCTGAAAAAGCATTCAACAAAATTCAACATCCATTCATGATAAAAACTCTCAGCAAAATGGGTATAGAGGGCAAGTACCTCAACATAATAAAGGTCATATATGATAAACCCACAGCCAACATCATACTTAACAGCGAGAAGCTGAAAGCTTTTCTTCTGAGATCGGGAACAAGACAGGGATGCCCACTCTCCCCA